GACTATTTACTTATTTATATTATTTTTAATTAAATATTTAAAAGTATTTTAAGATTATTTTTCATTTTTTAATGATGAACTTCTATAAAGAAAATTATTTTTGCTTAAACTTCTTTTTTTTTAGAATGAGTTTTATAAAATTTGAATTTTTTAATCAGCTAATTTATTTTTTTTTTAAAAAGAATTTGAATTTTTTTCTTTTGAATTTCTTAATTTTTTTTATTTTTTTTCAATTGATCTCTCTTCATCAATATATTTTCTTGATAAAATTGTAATATCATCTTCATCTTGTAAACTTTAATTATATAAATTATTTTTTTAAATCTAGATTTTTTTCTAATTAATGAAAACACCTTTGTCGAAATCTTTATTATTAATACTTTCTATAGTTTTCTCCAAATTAATTATTTTATTTTATAATTCTTACAGATCAGAACTTATTCGTATATTGGAATTTAAATCTATATATTAAATTAAATTATATATATATACACTTAAATAGATATATATATATATATATAATATATATATATATATAATATAAATATATAATATATAATATAAATATATAATATAAATATATAATATTTATAATATAAAATCTAATTTATTTATACATTTTATACAAATATATTTACATTTTTATATATTTATAAAATTTATACATTTTTTATTTACTTGTATATATTTTTTCATTTTACTAATTTTAATTTTATTTTTATGATTTTTAATCTGTTTTATCAATTTCTGTGTTAGACAATTAATCTTTTTAATTTTAAAGAACATTATTTTTATTATATTGATTTTATGAATTAAATAGATTTTAATCGTTTTCATTTTAATTAGAAATAAAGTTATTTGATTATAATGAACTTTATTGTAATACGCTTAGCTCTTTATCTAATAATTAATGAAGAAAATTAAGTTTTTCAAAATTAAAATTTTATTCCATTATTTTAAATAAATATTTTTTTATATAATTTAATTTTTTTTTTTTAATTTTTTTTTTTTAGTTATATATAATTTTTTTTTTATTTCTATATAATTTTTATTAAATTTATAAATAATATTTTTTTGTTATATATCAAGATTTTTATTTTTCAATAATTAAAAAAACATTATAAATTTATTCTTATAAAAATTGTCAGAAATAATAAAGTTATATATATATTTATATAAATATTATAAAAAAATTAAATCAATAAAAATTTTATATAAAAAAAATCAAAAATATATATATTTTTATGAATTTAACAATCTGAAAAAACTCCTTCAAATAAAAAATAAAAAAATTAATTTTAAATATTTTAAATTTCAAAAATTAAAATAAAAACAAAAATGTAAAAATTATTTACAATTCCTTCCGAAAATGAAAAAGAAAACGAAATCCCTTAATTTTTTAGCAACTAAAAAAAATATGACGACCTCCTTTAGTCATATAATAAAAAACTAGCCTAAATACGTACCACTCCATTAGAAGAAAGACCATAGAATGGTTTGTACACCCCATCAAATAGTAAATTATTCACTCCAAACAATAATGTACTTAATAATGATTAATTTTCTAACGAATCCTTCGGAATAACCCCAAAAAAGATTGATTTTTTAGAATAAGAATAATAAATACCAAATACCACTTCTCATTAAAAAATATAAAATTCAACATGCATATAAATATCTAAAAAGTACGAAAACATGCCTTCATTATCAAGTTTAAACAATAGTGTATTTGAAATAGATGAAGAAAAAAAGCAAGAATAAAAAACTAAATAATAAAATTATAATAATATAGAAGAAATGGAAAAAACAATATTAACAGAAGACTTATAAATAAAAAAATTAAGTAAAAACCAAAAATTAATAATAGAATAATTCTATTTAAACTAAAATAATATAATAAGCTATATGCCAAATTAAAGCGGAAAAACAACTCTTTATTAAATCATGGCTTTAATTTCTTAAAAAAATACATAATTTTCATTACTAATGGTAATAACAAATAATACTTATTCCCATAAAAATATAAATTCTAATGTAAAATATTATATATATATATATATATATAATATAATATATATATTATATATTTATATATATTAAGGTAAGCTGGGCATATCTAAATAAATAAATTGATGATGAAAATATGAAAACAATACTTGAATATTTAAATGAATTTAAAATTAGACTTTTATTAATTAATTGGGATTTTGTTTATGATGAAAAGCTTTATTTTTTAAAAAATATTGTTGATAAAATTATCATTGAAGATCCAAAAAATGAAAGATAATATTAACAATTAAAAAAAGCCTTCCCAAAAGTCACAAAATGGGCAATATTGTATACTCAAACAGTAAAAACTTAAAAAGAAATGTCAGAATTAGCCTAAAAATGTGCATTAAAATAAATTGAGAGCCCCTAAAAAAGCCTCAAAGCAATCGATTTTGGAAAAATATACTGGATATAGACCTAAAAATAGGAAAAAGAGAAAAACCTATTTAACTTTTTACATAAAAACCAACTAAAAAAAGTCATCCTTTTCCTCCCTTAAACAGAGAAAAAACAATTGGAAAACACTCATTCTTATTTTGCACAAAAAGGGTTGAAATTCTAGTATTTTTAGCCAAAAAACATCCTATAATAGACCTAATAATTTTAAAAAGAAAACTTCGATATTTTAACAGTTTTCTCAGGAACAACTTTGCCTTCTAAAATAAAAGAAATTTGTCAATATTATATTCATTTTTCACTCCCTTTAAATATAAAAGACTATCTTTCAGATTTGAATGGATTCTAGAGATTTTTTTTTTAAGAAAATTAGGTTTTTTATCAAAAACTAGCATGTGGTTTTTTAGTTGAAAACGAGTTTTTTTTATAAAGGAGAAATTTAATTTCATCTTTTATAACCGAAAACGAATTCTTAATATTCCAAAAGGCCTCTGAAATTCAAAAAAAAAAAGAAAAAAATGTCTATTTTAATATAGTTTAGACCCAAAAAGAACAAGAAATTGAAGATTTTTATAAAGAAAAAACCAATTTTCAAAAACAGATTTAACTATAAAAATTCTGTAAAGATAATAAAATCTCAAAGGAAAATTTATTAAAAATCCTCAATTTTTTCTATACTTAAGAAGAATTCGAAATACTTCCTTTTTTAGGAAAAATTAACCTTTTATAAAAACCTTCCTCTAATATTTTCTAATAAATTAAAACCTAAACTTTTTCTTTTTTTGATTTATCTTAAAAAACTAATCTTCCGATTTCCCATTTAAATGCTTTATTTAAAAAAGAAGCATCTAAAAATACTATTAAATATGTAGTTTTGGAAGAAATTCTTCTTTTTAAAGTTTAGAAAAAGATTCTGTTTTCCTAAATTAAAGAATTTGAGCTTTTAAATGTCAAAAATTTAGATTTTATGTACTTTTTGGCAAAAAATTCCTCTTTTTCTTCCTTAGAGTAGATTTTTAAATTGCATAATGACAATTCATAAATGTCCTAAAATTTAGAAGACTACATAAATAATGAATGGGAAAATATTCAATATTAAAAATAATTACCATTCACATCTTTAAAAACCTAAAGAGAGAAAAGTAATCTATTAAAAGATATAGAAAGTATTGTTTTAAAATACAAAAATATATTTAATGAAAAAACTGAAATTTAAATAGAGAAAAGGGAACTTTGTTTAGCATTATAAGGCTTTTCTATATAAAAATATAATACAATTAACTCTTTTGGAAAATATTTTACATATGACTTTTTCGAAATGGAATTGATAATATGTGAATATTTAGAAAATTTTTTATATTAATAATAATAATAATAATTAAAAAAAAAAATTAAAATATGAAAAAAAGCTATAAAAAATAATAATTTATATACATATATATATAACAAACAAATAGAAATTAATTTTTTTATAAATTATATATCATTAAATTTTTTTATTTAAGCTAAGAATCGTCCTAATTTGTTAAAGTATAAAATTATTTAATAACTCCTCTTTATAAATCAATATTTATTCACTTTTTGTCCTCTGTTCAATGAATATACAATGAAATTCGAATTTTCCAAACTAAAAATTTTAAAAATTATTAGTATTATACATTATTTAACATTTCATAATCGAATTCTTTAATAATTTAAATTTTTTTCTATATATATTAAATAAGCATTTTTTACATGATTTAATGATTTAACCGATTATTATTCAACCCGTACCACATTTAATATTATAAACTACAGCTCAAACAGTCCACCCTATAATGTTCATATAAAATAATAATAATAGTTAGCTTTAGAAAATATACGAAAACAAAGCAGCTATTTAGTAGTTTAAATATAAATTTAGAATTAAATTTGTGATATTTAAATTTGAAAAATCACAACACCATTTAAAATACATTTAAAATATGAGCTAAAGAACAGATATCTAAATAACTACCGTAAAATATAAAAATAAAATGAAAAAAAATTATATGAGAAAAAAAAATTCTATTATTTTATAAGCTAATTGTTAAAAAGAAAAAAAATTTTAAGTATATATATATTTTAAGAAAATCCATTAAATAATAAATAAAAGTTAAACAAAAAAAATAAAATATTATTTGATTTACGCAATAATAATATAAGATATTTTAAAAATAACAAATAGAAAAATTTTTAGAAAAATATATAGTTTTTTATATTTAATTTTATTATAAATAAAATTTTGATAAGATTCAAACTTTTTTTATTTTATAATATTAAAAAAAAAAAATATAAAAATATAATAAATAAATAAAATAATTAAAAGATACATTATTAAAATTATTATTATAATTATTATTATAATTATTATTATTATTATTATTATTATTATTATTATTTTTATTAATATTATTATTATAATTAGACTTAGTTTTATCATTAACAGATATATTTATAATCAAATAAATTTTATAAAATTTTCATACTTACTATTTAAATGTAATTAATTAATTTATTTTTTTATTATATTCATTTTAATTATATAATACAAAATCATTTATATTCTTATTATTAAATATATTAAATTTTTTTTTTTTTATATAAAATAATTTTATATTTATACAATTTTTTTTTTTTCAAAAAATTAACATTTTTTTTATTTACAATATATTTTTATTTTTTATAATTATTATCTTAAACTATATTATAATAATTAAAAATTTCAAGTTTTTTTTTTTTATTTTAAAAGATAATTTTTTTTTACTATTATTTATCTTTTAAATAAGAAAATTTATTTTATTTTTTATTTTCAAATAAATTTTTAGAAACAATATAAATTTTAAATTTATTGCTTTTTATAAAATATTATATATATTAATATATTTGTTAATATTTATTATTAGTATAGAAATATCATAATAAAGCTATTTTTTTAACTTATAATAATTTTGTAAATTTGATTTTTAAATTTTTTTACTCTATTTTTTAAAGCAAAATTCTATCATATTTTAAAAAAGAAGCTTTTATTAATTTTTAAGTTATTTTATTATACATATATAAAGTATATGCATCAGAATTAAATTTATAAAAATAAAACAAATAAGCATTTGCTTTTATTTAAAAATTATATGGGATTCATTAATAATATTTTTAATCTTATAATTAAATTATTCATGTTATGTTTTAAATATGCTTTCAATATTAAAAAATTTGTATTAAATACAAAAATTAAAAAAATCTTATAATTTATATTATACTTTTTTGAAACAACTAAATAAAAATAATGTAATTTCATAATAATATAATATAAAATGAAAAACAATAAAGATAATAAAATTAATAATATATTGATTATTAAAATCGTTTAGCATTAGAAAATTAAGTCTTAAGAAAAGATATAGAAATACTAGATTAAAACTTCAATTAAATAATATCTGAAAATAAAATATTGTATTTACAAGTAAAAGAATTAGAACAATTAATAGAAAAAAACAACATAGATTTTTAAAGAAATTTTGATGCAATAATAGATGAAAACCGAGAACTTTAGATATAAAATAATTAATTAAAAGATAGGGTATCTTCCCAATTAAGAACTATTGATGTGATGTAAAAATCCCAATATTTAAATCCTTATCCTGCAGTATAAAATCTTGTATCATATCCTTAAATAAGAGATATAAATTAATCTATAATTAGATCTAATGAAGAACATAATAAATAAATATTAAATAGATGTAGATCAATTGTAGATTATCATACTTATTAATGATTTTTATATATAAGAAAAAAAAAAAAAAGCATAATATATATATTTATAACAATATTTTTTTTTAAAAAAAAATATAATAACTAAAACTAATTAAAATATGTTTTATTTAATTTAAATTACAGGTAATGTTCTTTCTATATTTTTTTGTTTTATAAATGTATTGAATTATTTGCTTTTTTCTAAAAATAAGAATTTAAATAATTTTCCGATAATAATAATTTAGTTTTTTTTAATAATACAGCATTCTTGCAATTTTTTTATTTCTTAAAAAGACTTAATAAATATTATTCCTTCAAATTTTTTATTATTTGGCCATTTAATTTCTTTATATACAATATAAATTTCCTAATTTTTTACTGCTTTTTTCTACTAATAATCCTTTAAAGTTATTCTTGACAATATACTTTTATTTTAACTATAAGAAAATATAAAATAAACCTATTATTTTGCATTTTTAGCCATTAATATATTATGTTTATAGTAAATATAAAAAAAAAAAAAAAATAAAAAAAAAATAGTCCTTTATATATGAATGAAGAAACATACATATAATAATTTTTTGATTATAAAGAGAATATTTAGATATTATTTTTATGTATCTTTCCATTTTTATTATGGTTTTTTGCCATATATTAAATAATAATATGCCATATATTAAGATGTAAAAACAATACAGATATAAAAATTCATTTATTAAATAACAATACTTTATCTTTTGGTTTAAAAATAATCTAAATCTTGACTTTTGGTTATTTATTTAGAAACTATTATATATACTTGAAGAAATAAGAATCATTAATAATTGAAATTATTAATACTTTATATTGTTTTACTGGTTCTTTATAAGCAATTTATTATATATTTTTTAGTGGATAATATAGATAATTACGAATAGAAAGATTTTTCAAATAAAAACATGAAAAAGCAAAGAAATAAATAAATATATATAATAATTTATAGATATAATTATAAAAGTGAAAATAAATAAATATAAAAAAATTATAAAAAAAAATAATGGAAAAAAAATTTAAATAAAAAATAAGATCTTATCATTAAAAACTTTAAAACTAAACTTAAAAAACATTCAATTTTTTTAAAGAACATAATATTCCTTTAAATTGGGCATTAATTTTGACATTTTCTATTTCTACAAAACTTTTATATGCCCCTTTTATTCATTTGAATCGATTAAACTTTCGCAAACTAAAATTAATATAGCCCCAAATAGAAAATTTAGATGCTTAATTGATCAAAGCTTCTGAAAGCAGGGACTATAATTTATGCAATAAGCTTCATTATCAAAAAAAAGATTTAAAAAAATAAAATGGTATAAGTTCTTATATTTTCGCTATTAATTTAACTTATATACCTATTTCTTTAATTTGGCTCACTTAATTAAACGAAGCTCTTTGTAATCCTATAATATATCCTGAATTTACAACTTCAGGCGTTTTATGGTTCAAAAACTTATCTTAATTAGATTCTTTTTTGATTCTTCCATTTGCTTGCTTAAGTTTATCTTGTTTGAATTTGTCAAAATTTATAAGTGAAGAAAATAATGACCCTGGCTTTAAATATTCGTTTCTTTTACCTTTAACCACTTTTCCTTTTATAATTACTGCACCAAGTGGAATTTTATTACACTGGTTTTCGGCTTCTTTATTTAGATTATTGATTGGAATTTATTCTAAAAGAACTGAAAATAAATGAAAAAATAAAAACAAAAAATCCATTTTTTATTAATATTATTTTATATAATTAAATATATGTTTATAATAATTAAATAAAAATAATCATTTTGGTTTTAATAATTTTTTTTCTTTTTATCATTTTCTATTAAATTTGCTTAATTTTAGTCATACAATTTGATTACTTCTGAATTTGGCATAGTAATTACATTTTCTAATTCCCTTTGAACTGAAAGTTATATATTTTAAGAATTTTATAACTTTTTCAAAAGTAATTTTTCTTAATTTTCTAGTTATTCAAGTAAAGTTTCTTTGTTTTTTTTTCCATAATAGATTAATCCCTTCTAATCTTAGATTATTATTATAAATACTCTATATGATTATTCCAATAATTAACAATTTTTTATCTCGATTCTTCCTTTAAACTTTTAATTTTATTATGTTAAAGTTATTTTTCTAAATGAATTTTTGCCTTAAAATTATGCACTCTATCATGTATTTAATCTTTTTAAATTTCAATCCCATTATAATCACCTTTTTTAAGTTAATTAATTAATTATCTCATTTCTTTCTATTATAATTTCTACTACTAATGTTATTCATAATTTCTTTTTATAATAATTTCAAAAAAGCTTCTTCATTTTTAATAGAAGCAGATTTATAAAGACTAATTTCTTAATTTCTTTTCTTCATTTCTAATATTTTCATTGTCTTTACTTTGGTATAACCAATTCTTTTAGCAGCTCTTTCTTCTTCAATTTTTAATAGATTAATTCGATTAACTAAAAGGTTTATTTATTTTTAAGCATGCAATTTGGAACGATTAGCTGACCATTCAGATTCTTAATTAATTATGGAATCTAATAAATTATCATCTTATTATTGAAATTTAGTTATTGTTTATTTTTATTAATACATTTAATTATATTAAAAAATGTTTTATAAATAATAATAAAAAAAAAAATGAAAAATTTATATAATAAATTATTATAGTTATAAATTTTATAATATTAAATTTTTATAATAATAATATAAATAAAAAATAAAAAATAAATAAAAAATAAAAAATAAAAAAAATAAATATATAAATAAATAAATATATTTATTTATAATTTATAAATATAATTTATTTACCATAATTATTTATTTTGAGATTTTTACTTTTCTTTTTGAAATTAAAATACATTGTTTCAGTTTTTTCATTATATTTAATTTATTTTATTATCTAAATATTAATTTATTCAATTTATTCAATTTTTTTTTTTTTTTCATTTTACAAAATTTTATAATTTTTTTTTTTCATTTAATTTTAGTATCTATTTTATATCAATTTAAATTGAGATATTTTCAATAATTTTTATATTTACATTTAATAATTTCTTATTAATTCATATATTATATTTTAGATTATATTTTTACCATCATATAAAATAATTTTTAAATTTCAATATTTACATTTTTTAATAGTTTTTTAAATTAATTTTTATATTTATTTAGAATAAAGTAATATAATATTTATAGTAAATGAATTTAATTTTATATTCAAAATATTAATTTTTTTAGTCATTATTATTATTTTTATTTTGAAAAATAAATAAATTATAATGTTTAAAGAATATAAATTCTATATTAAATTTTAAATATTTCTTAGACTTAAATATTTTAGATTTAAACTTGTAATAAAAAACAGTATTAAAAAATAAAAAAATAAATAATAAATATATTATTAAAGGAAAACTATTAAACCAAAAAGAATATTCAGAAATGTATTATTTATATATTTTTAAAAATTAAAAATTTTAAAAATTATTAAAAAAAAATATATAAAATATTATATTTAATTTATAAAAATTAAAATAACTTTTAAATATAAATAAATATATAAATATTTATAAACAAATATATATATATATAAATATATATATATATATATATTTAACATATTTTTATTTCACTTCTTTATTAATTCTTTTATGTATTTTTTTTTTATTTCTTTTTTTTTATTTTCTTTTTGTTTAAAATTATATATATTTTTATAATAAATTCTAATTATTAAAATTTTTTTAAATCCACTGAAAGATGTTTATTAATATGCTATTTAAAAGTATTTTATAGAGTTTACAAAATAATTTTTTACTGTATCTATTTTTGATATTTTTTATTATATATATATTTTCTTTATTAGTTAATATTCTTCCTTAATTTATTTTATACCTATCTATTTTTTTAACTACTCACACATTTTTTCTATAGGATTTAATTTTGTAGTGTTTTTTTTCTGTACAAATGCACGATATTTTATTATTTTACTACTTAAAAACTTTTTTGTATATATGGAGCTTAATCAAAAATAAATATTTTTTTTTATAGTTTTTTAAACTAAAATAATGTTTTAATACTTCTGAAATAAACCTCATCAAGGCAAATTAGCAAGTCCAATCTTTCAATAGCATTTAACCAGTTTCACCTTCATTTGTCATAAATCCAATAATAGTGAAATGTTTAGAAGTTTTATTTTTTTTTCATTATAAGCTACTAACCTTTCGGAATCCATGCATAATTATTTTTATTTTTTATTCAAATTCCACATTCGTCAATATATATAGCTTTATAATCATTAATTAATACAGGAATAATTTCCATAATAAAAGAAGATCATTGTTATTTAGTAATATAATCATCAATTTTAGGCTTACAATATCCTATTCTTTTGTAGCTTAGTCTACATTTTTTATTTAAATTAACTGTAAACTAGCTTAGTGTTTAAAAGTTTTTACAAATTATTAGTTGTTAAGAAACTTTATTCATTATTTGCTAAGCTGTGCAATTTATTGCCTACTCTTTATATTTATTTTCATCAATCCATTATTTAATTTCTTCAGAAAATTTTAAATTATTGTTTTTTGTACCTTTTATTTCTATATCCTCATTTAATTTCAATTTTTTATTTATTGAATTAATTTAGTTTCTAGTGAGTAAGGTTTTATGAAGAATAAATTCTGTTTTACAGCCCTGCCTTATCATTTTTGCTGCAATTAATCTTTTTTTATTTTTAGTTTCAATTTTTTATTACTTTTTCGTAATATTTGGATTTTCTTTTTATTTTTTAGTTATATCATAAAATTAATGAATTATACTTAAGTATTTTAAGACTGAACCTTTATTTAATTTTTTAAAATCTGGATAGCAAGCATTATATATAAATTTTTAATCAAATTAATAATGTTATTATATGCTTAAGTTGATTTCTTCATAACTATATTATTATGCACTCATAATAAGCTTACTAATTTATTTCTGTACATCCCATTCTATTTTTTAGTTGTTGTTTAGTTATTGCAATTATTTTATAATACCTTAATTTATGTATTTTTTCATTTTATTTTTTCCCTATATTTTAATTTAATTTTAAATTTAACCTATTAAAAATTAAATTTGTCCACTGAAAAAAAAAATCTTTAATAAAAAATAAAAAACTTTGTTTGAGATTCTATTTTTTTAATTTATATTTTAGTTTTTAATGGTTAAATTCAATTTTTTTTTATTTTAAAAATTGATGCATTTTAGCATTTATTTTATTTAATTAAAAAAAAAAAATTGCCTAAAACTTTTATTTTGTATTTGTCAAAAGAAAAAATATTTTAATTATATTAGTTAATTTCATTTTTTAATTATTATTAATTTATATTAATTTTTTATATTAATACTAATTATAAATAAAAAATAAAAAATTAATTAAGAAAAGCCTTTGCTTAAGTAAATATCTATTAATGAAATTAATAAATTATTTGGAACCTTATAAAACTTTTATCTGTCAGTATAATAATTAGGGTATTATTTACCAGATTTAGAAAACCCTTGTATAACCGCTGAATATCTACTTGGAGTAAGCAAGTAAACATATTGATGTCCTAAAAAATGTTAGTTATCACCAGGGGGAGCAAATATGATTAAAAAAAAATATATATATATAACTATACGAAACAATTGTGTAAATTAATTAAGAAAAAAATGGTGGAAATTTCGGATTCGGTATGACAAAGCTGCCTAATAAATAATATATTAGTAATATTATTCATTAATTAAATCCTGGTCATCATATTTTTTCATATTAAAATGTGATAGATGACGATTAGTAACTTATAGATTTTCCTACTGAGTACTATTTATTAAATATTTAATTATTAATTATTTTTTTAGTTTATTTAAGGAAATTAATACTCGCGTTATGCCAGCAAGAGCACAAGTTATTTTCAAAAGATTTAAATAAAAGATGAAATAATAAAGAAGGAAAAGAGGGATATTAAAACAGTTAGAAGAATAAATATGCTTAAGTATGAATAATGATCTGCAGAAAAAAAAATTGAAAAATTGAATGGTGAAATAAAAGAGCTTATTAAAAATAAAGATGATTGAATAAATAATCTAATTTAATTATATAAAAAGAAAATTATTATATATAATATTAATAATTATATATTTCTTTTATTTCTATTGTACTTTAAGTAAATATTTTTTTTGTTAATTAATATTTTAATGTATATATTTTTTATTATACACATATATACATATTAGATTTAAAAGTTTTAGTGTGTAAATTTGCTTATAAATAGATGTATTTATTATTATTTTTAATTATACTTATTTTTTTTGTAAATAATTTGTATAGGCATTAAAATTATTTATTAATTTATTTTATTTTTTTATTATATTTTAATATTTTAGTAAAATTTTATATTTATGATTATAACTTTAAATTTTTATAAATAAAAATTATTTATTTATAATATTAAAAAGCCATTTTTATTATTAAATATTTTATTTATGTTTTACATTTATATGATTAAAGTAATGTCTATTTTTTTATTTTTTTGAGCAATAGAAAAAAACAAAAATCTATATTTTACTAAAAAAAAATCATAAATATATTTTTAATATAATTAACAAAAACAAATAATTTATTTATATATATATTGTATATGTTTTTTATATTTTGATAAATTTTTCATTATTTTTATAAATTAAATATATTATAAAATTAAACTGAAAAATATTATATTTGACTTTTAAAATATAGAATTTAAATAAAGTTTATTTTTCTTTAAAAATTAAAGATATGTAAATGAATTTTATATCCCTTACTATAATAGTAAATATATTAAAATAAAAAAATAAAAAAAATGTAAGAAACAAAAGAAAAGGATAGTGTTATATTATGTACTTAATATTGTACAAATAGAAGACAATTAACATAAAAAGACAATAAATATAAATATATATATATATATATATATATATATATATATATATATATATATATTTTTTTCTTTTTCTAATTAGATATTTTTATTTTATAATTTTTTTTATAATGATGAAGAGTAATTTTTTATTATATAATTAAACACATTAATTAGTAAGCATTATATGGAAAATAAATCTATTTATTTTTATTTTTTAATTATTTTTGTTTCCTCTTTATTTAATATTTATTAATTTTTATTTTTATTTTTGTTTTTCTTATTTTTTTGTAATATTATTATTATTATAAAATTTAAAATTTCTACTAATAAATATTTTCTAACTTCTAAAATTACCTGAATTTTAAAAAAATCCTTTCATTTAAATGCTTATAAAAAATTTCTATCATAAGCATGAAAAATTTTATAAAAAACCACTTTTAGAAATTTACATACAATCAAATTCATTAAAATATGAAACACTTCAAAATCCTTCAAAAACTTTTAAAATAATTTAATTATAATTATTGTATTTTATATCTAAATTTTTCTTCATTTAAATATTAATTAGATTTTTTTACATCAAAACAATATAGATTAATATTTTTTAATTTTTGTTCAAATATCT